TGAAACTAATTTATTGTTTTCTTCAAATCTGTCTATGTCTCTATTACCAGTTGGAAAATTGACACCATCCCAGTTCAAAATATCATCTTTCAATTTATTATAGTGGAACATTTCCTCTGGGTGATGTTTGCTTATTTTGTCATAGACTACCGATTGAATACAATATCTAAAACATTTTTGGTCTTTGTTTTTAATGTTGATACATGCCTTTTTAATTTAATCCATTCTGGTAGTTCTACATATCTCCCTGCTCTTGTTGGGTCATATTTGTCATAATGAATGGTTATTGATAAAATCTTTTTAAAACGTAAATTAGAGGTTGATGCTTCTAAATTTTGTATTTGTAATAAGATTTGTTTAACACTATCTTCTAATGTTTGTGTCAGTTCATCTTCATTACTAATATTAAGGCGTGTTGAAGGTAAAGCATATACAAGTTCCTGACTGCCAATTTCATTTCCTCCATCATCATATTCAGGTTTTTCAAACAACCCTTCCGTTCTTATGTTAAGTTTCATGCTTCTATTCTTTTTTAGAAATTCTAATAGTCTTTGTTTTTGGTGCGCAATCATTTCTAAACCTCTTTCCCCTTCAAAGTGTTTATTTTCTAAAACTATTGAATTAGCATATCTTCTAAATGCTGATTGAATATCTCTGACCCTGAATTTGTTTCTTATTGCGTGTCTAGTCAGGATTTGTCTTACTCTCCCTTCATTGAAAGCACCCTTTGCCTTGTTTAAAGCATAACTTCTGTATTCATTAGTTTTCTTTACTGATAATAATTTCTTGTCAACACATTTGATATGGGTTTGTCTTTGTTGTATCTGAATGTCTTATCATCTATTATTATTGACTTTAATTCTTTTCTTCCTCTTTTTGGTATTTCTGCTAAATCATTACTCAATAGATAGTCTATAACTTTTTTCATCATATAATACTATATTTTTTATTTAGTCAATTTATCTTTAAGTAGTTTTTTTTAAAGAATGCCTTATTTTTAATCTTTGAATATATACTTAAAGAATAGCTTTTTAAGTATATTAGTAGGATGGATTGTGTGAAGGATTTGCCTGTTGATGTGTTGAGTAAAATTGCTTCTTATAAAATTGGAGACCCTATATACATATTTGAAAATTAAGTATAATCATATTGAGGCATTAAAGAGAATATAAAACAAATATAAGATTTCAAGACTTGGTCCGAAAATAACAAGACATTTGAAATCAAGAAAAAAATATATAATTGAATACTGTATTGTGAGAGAGGGAGTGCCATTTAGTTTGAAAAGTTTAGAAGACATAATAACAGAAGAACAAGAAGAATTATTATCTTTAATTTATGAAGAAGTAGAAGATGATTTAAATTATAGAGTTAAACTTGATATTGAGGTTCAATTAGTGGCAAAACTCCCAGAAAAGGAATATGGAGAAAATGAATTTAGTTATAGCGAGATGTATTTTATGAATGACTCTTTGATGAATATTTAGATGAAGATAATATAGATACAATATTAGAGAAAGCAGTTGAAGAAATACAGGAAGATATAGATGAAGACCGAGATAAAGATAGTATCATAGGAATACAAGCATTTCATTTTATATTTATGATTATTGAAGTCATTTACTACTAACATAATTCTTATAATGCTATTTATTAGATTTATGGATTATAAAGATAGGATTATTAAAGGTGAGGAAATTGTCTTTATTATGGTTTGTTGTTTTGTTTTTGTATGTTGATGTTTTTTTGTTTTTGTTTTGGGTATGGAATGGATGAGGTCATGATGTGATTTTCTATGCACGAAAAATATGAAAAAAATCTGAAAACAGATTTAAGAAAATGACTGTTTTAAGATACATGGATGATCGAAGGAAGTTTAGAAGTCAAACTTCCGACAATATGGAGAGATGAAAAGCAGAGCAGGGAAGAGGCATAGAGAAGAGAAAGATTAGAAGAAAGAAGATTAGAAGAGAACGAGTAAGAAGACAGAAGATACAGATGCGCGAAAAGGTAGGAAAGTCGCGAAACACTGTGTTTTTCCAATGATTTGTGGCTCCGGAGGGTCGAAAAGTAGGCTCGCTAAAGCGGCGTGCGGAGCCAGCTGGCCAGAGGAGAGATGAAAAATTGCACGCCGTCGTGGCGCGAAGCACATTTCCAAGTGAAAATGTACAAAGCACACCATTCTCGGACCACTTTTGGAAGTTGAGATGTCAAAAAAGTGCACGCCGTTGTGGCGCGAAGCACATTTCCAAGTCCAAATGTACAAAACACCTCAGGTCCGGACCACTTTTGGAAGTTGCGATGTCGAAAAAGTGCACGCCGTTGTGGCGCGAAGCACATTTCCAAGTCAAAATGTACAAAACACACCAGGTTCGGACCACTGTTGGAACTTGCGATGTCGAAAAAGTGCACGCCGTTGTGGCGCGAAGCACATTTCCAAGTCAAAATGTACAAAACACCTCAGCTCCGGACCACTTTTGGAAGTTGAGATGTCGAAAAAGTGCACGCCGTTGTGGCGCGAAGCACATTTCCAAGTCAAAATGTACAAAACACCTCAGCTCCGGACCACTTTTGGAAGTTGCGATGTCGAAAAGTGCACGCCGTTGTGCGCGAAGCACATTTCCAAGTCAAAATGTATAAAACACCAGGTCTCGGACCACTTTTGGAAGTTGAGATGTCGAAAAAGTGCACGCCGTTGTGGCGCGAAGCACATTTCCAAGTCAAAATGTACAAAACACCAGCTTCGGACCACTTTTGGAGGCTCAGATGTCGCTTCGCTTCGCTTCGCTTCACTACACTACATTACTCTACACTACACTACACTACACTACATGACACTACACTACACTCCACTACACTACAACTACAACTACACAACTACACTCCACTACACTCCACTACACTAAATTACACTACACTACACTACACTAAATTACACTACACTCCACTACACTACACTACACTCCACTACACTAAATTACACTACACTACATTACACTGCACTACACTCCACTACACTACACTACACACTACACTCCACTACACTAAATTACACTACACTACACTACATTACACTCCACTACACTACACTACACTACCTTCCACTACACTACACTCCACTACACTACACTCCACTACACTACAACTACTACTACAACTACACAACTACACTCTACTACACTCCACTACACTAAATTACACTACACTGCATTACATTACACTACACTCCACTACGCTACACTACACTCCACCACACTAAATTACACTACACTTCACTACATTACACTGCACTACACTCCACTACACTACACTACATTACACTACACTACACTACCTTCCACTACACTTCACTACATTACACTACACTGCACTCCACTACACTACAACTACCACTACAACTTCAACTATACAACTACACTCCACTACACTCCACTACACTAAATTACACTACACTAAATTACACTACACTCCACTACACCACACTACACTACCCTACACTACATTGCACTCAATGACACTGCACCACAGATAGACAGGTAGACAGCTAGACAGATGAAGGAGAGAGAGGGAGATAGATAGATAGATAGATAGAAAGATAGATAGATAGATAGATAGAAAGATAGACAGACAGACAGACAGACAGATAGATAGATAGAATGATTGATAGATAGATAGATAGAAAGAAAGATAGATAGATAGATAGGTAGGTAGAAAGATAGATAGATAGGTAATTAGATGAAAGAGAGAGAGAGAGAGATAGATAGATAGGTAGGTAGGTAGGTAGATAGTCAGAGAAAGAGAGAGAAAGAGAGTGATCAAGCACCTTTCAGTCCATCAGTGGCTTCGCTCTGCAATCCCTGATTCACAACAACCAACCTCTCCTATAGGTTTCCTATTTTTGAAACTTCCGCCACCGCCTTGTGCAGTACTACTGGTAAAACCTGTAAAACTTGTGAAAGAACTATGGACATTGATAATTTTGATGAAGGGTTAAAAACTTGTAAAATGTGCTTGTCAGATAAAAGAACCAGTTGTCACAAACATAAACATAAACGAAATGAGGTTCAAAGAAAAAGATATGAAGAAGATGAGGAATATAGAAAAATGAAGCAGGACAAAAAAAACACATTTCAATCTAAAATTGTTAGTTGTTCTGTTTGTAATTGTTCAATGACCCAAGCAAATTACTATAAACATAAAAAAACAGAGAAGCATCAAAGAAACTTAAATAATGGTCAGTATTTAGGTTTTAATAAAAATGAATGAGGTAGTTATGTATTGACTTTTATGATTTATAGAAATGAAAGAGGTAATATATGGTTAGTAATGATGATTTTGAAAAAATGAATGAGGTAATTATGCCTTGACTGTTTTTATTTTCATTATAGCTTTGATATTGTTGAAAAAATGAAGTAATCAACAATATTAAAAATCGGTGTTTAGACTGTTATAATTGAAATTAAAAAACTTCTATGAACTGTGGTTTTTTACATTTTTTTAGGGGAGGTGATTTTTGTTGTAAAACGTAGGTTTTGGACCCCTTTCCAACACAAGACATTGTAAATACCAGTATTTTGTGAGGGTTTTGAAGCAAAAATCACGCCCCCATGAACCCCCGTTCTGTTTTTCGACTGAGGGTGTCTGAAAATGGGAATGCGTTGCACCGCAAACGATGGTATCTTGGGGAGACATGTAGTGGGATAAACAATACTTTGATATTTGGGTGTCTCTGAACAAGGGATGAACTTCCAATTTATGCATATTTTGAATGGAAGAAACTGATGATTGACCAGTGGATGGAGGGTAAGATGTTCTCCCCACATCTTCAGACGCAAATGAACCGTGACAGCTGGTAGGTTTTATTGAGATTGCCGCGCATACAGGAGACCTTACATGGATGATGATTGCCACTATCCATGTCCAAATGAAACCATCCAAATTAAATCTACATTATCCTGATTACCAGCTTTTGTTGATGTGATTGCCATCTGAGCTTCCAGGTACCACAGTACAGTTCGGCACCCAGCTCTGGGGGACCAGCAAAAACCCAGCGAATGGCAGAGGTATGGCTGTTGGCCACGGGTCCGGATGAAGCCGTCTATAGGGAGATGAACGTGCACTTGCCTTGTCAGATATTTTGAGGTTCTTGCGGAAGGGTACCAGAATTTTGATTTACACCAGAACTGGTTCAGAGCTTCCCAGTATCTGGGCTTGTCTGTTTTCTACACCAAATTCAATGTTTTACCACCTTATATGTCCCATCTATATAAAGTGGCTTTGATGGGGTTAATAATCCATTTTCAGAGGAAACCGTATCCAAATTGTTGGTCTTTAGCAATATATTATACAGTATGTATTCCGCATTAAATCCCATTAAATCTATTAACCCCCCCATTAAAGCCCGTAAAATGGTATTAACTCCCATTATTCGATCAAATCCGATTAAAATCCCACTCCGATTCAAATCCCAATCCGATTCAAATCCCACTAAATCCCATTAAATTTGATTAGACCTCATTAAATCGAATTAAATCGCATTGAACCCATTAAATCCGGTGAAATTGGATTAAATCCAATTAAATTTCGTTAAATCATCTAAATCCTTTTGTTAATGTGTTTTTTTCTCCATTTTCAGAGCGTCCTGCACCTTTGAGGCCCTGAACTACGTGATTTTCCTTCGCGTTGCTGCTGAGATTCTTGGCTGGTCGATATAGTGGCTTAGTAGCCAGCTCCAATCAAAAGTTGGATTGATTAACACAGTTTTTGTTGGATAATCCATGAAAATAGGGATTCATATACCCATTTGATTTGGTGAACCATGATGGGATGGATGACCATAGCACCCACATTCATCCCACCCAACTTGACCATGGCTGATGTCAGTTAGCCATGGGAGTCGGAGTCTGCCTGGATGGCTTTGATATGCTTTGATTCTGATCCATTTGATCCACTCCACTTGAGGCTTTGTAGCATGCTGGCACTTGTTTCTGCCATTGTGGTGGTACCCTACTGGGGTGTTTGCGCCTCAGACCTTGTCCTGAAATCATGGCGCATCATGGCGTGGCGATCCCAAGGTGGAACCCATTTTGTTTGGGGGCTTTGGTGGACATATCTCCTTGGCCGAGGCCAGACATTGAGATTTTGGGAGGATTATATCAACATCATCAGTGAAGTGTATCATGCGAAATGGTGTTCTAATCACCTGCTGAAAAGCAACAAGAGTTAGCCTCCCCAATGCTGCTTTGAGGGCTATGCATTTGCTGGTATTTCATTCCGCCTCATGATTGGTGCAATTCACCTCACCTGCAGTTGTGAACAAATATTGCCGGGATGATCTGCGACACATGCTCGCTAGAGTCATGCGTAAATCTGCAAGATTCAAAGCTTCAGAACTTCCGAAGAGCATGTAGGAAAACCACCTAGGGCAGGACTGGTTCTTTTACAATATCAGTCTGTTCGCTCGCGCGTTGAAGCTGTTGACAGGGCATTGATGCAAACGGCATATGCCTAGTCTGTTGGGCCTCAGTCAACGGGTAGGATAGCCATCTTTTTCTGACTGGCCGCAAGACCAAATGCTGTTTACACGCGAGGCGCGTTTGGAGTCTTTGGAGTCATGAAAAGTCCGACAGTCCGATGCCTTCATGGCATTATAGTGGGGTTCTGGAGGTCTGTCATCATCTGTCATCCGTGCGAAAATCTGGACCTAGGTGCGTTGGCGTTCCTCTCAGGGATTCTGGTCTTGATCTTTGCACAGCGCATGAAGCGTCACATGCGGATACGCGGTGCAATGTATCCCAAGCTCCTGGGTGGCAGTTCAGAGACTTTCCCAAGGAGTGTTTTTCAGAGATTTCTGACAGAATGGCAACGCAGTTTCATGATTTTTCATGATTTTTCATGGTAGTCTGAGTCTCTGCCTTTGAAAATGCTTCTGTTTCTCATTTCGACATCGAGGAATTTGCTCCGTTCTCCAAGGTTGATTCCTTGTTTGGATCGCTCTCTTTGGTTGACGCATTTGCCGGTTGGCGACTACTTGACAGGCAAGCGCTTTACTCTCGAAGAAGAGGACTGTCTCGCTCTGTCATACGACGCTGGTGAGATTGAGATTCCTATACATGACTTTACTTAGACTCTTAAGACTTTCTGTTCCAAGTAGTGATCATTCATTTCTGCTTTGGCCAACACTTTTGCTAGATATAGGGTGAAGATGTTCTGATGCCTAGGTTTTCCTGTGAACGTTTCCACTTGTGGCACTTGCGTATCGCTGTTGCCTCCAGGACTTTACCCGTGTGGAAGAGTTATTGAAACGCGCTATTGAGGTGGGTCATCTCCGTTTGTCTTATCCTGTCAAGCTGTTTCTGTTTACACTTGACAACGCATCTCCATATCCTTGTGAAACGCATCTCCATATCATATCCCGAAGATAGGGGATAGTCTATGGACGAGGCAGAAAACTGCCCATTTCGACCAGTGAAGCTTGAGACCCCCTTAAGTCCTGTCCAGATTGGCTTTGCAGAGATTGCCACTTCTATAGTTTTCTTGTTCATTTCATGGGTGCATGTCATCGATCCACACTGGCCAGGAGCACGTGAGGCAAGTGAGACAGAACACTGGAAACCCCTTGGCTGTGGGCACCAGTACAGGCACATCAGATGGATTGAAATTGCGGACCTCAACCACCAAGGATTTACCAATATAGTCAATATAGATAAAGAATATATAGGTGTTCGGAAAATGGGGTACCCCAAAATCCATTGTTCAATGATCATTTTCCACACGAATGATATTGGCCCAGTCCTTGCTCGATGACCCAGCCATTAAATCCCATTAAATCCCATTAAATCCCATTACATCCACTACTTTTTGGATTTTCCATGCCCAATTGTTCCGCAGTTGTCCGTGTGCACGTGGCCTTTGTGGTGGATGACTACTTGGCAGTAGATGTCAAGCACAGCGAAGAAAAAGAGAGGCTACGGCGGTGGACTTCCGAATGGGTCTGAAAAGGGGGGATATCAGCAATTTATGACAGTTTCAATACAGTTTCAATGGGATATGGGATAGCAATGGGATATGAATCGGATATAATGGAATATGAGTATGTTTTTTTGTTTGAATTTGGGTTTGATCATCAGCAATAGGATTTTAAGGTGATTTAATGGGATATTATGAGACACAATATGGAAGCAACAAGTTGGATATGGGTTTGTCATGGTTTGTCTAAGAATGGGGGAATGCACCAAACGTGTGATCTATTTTACCATCAAAATTTGGGGCACTCCAATGATGAATGACCCTTTATATACTGGGGGATACATAATCCATGAACTACTGCAAATCCCCATTAGCTATGAACCAACCATTGCTGCAACCATCTTTTTCCAGTAGGTTGGTTCAGCCATTCAGAGTTCAGAAAAAAAGCACCGGTCCCGTGGGATACAGCACAGTGTCACAGTACTTCTGGTTTACTTAAGAGTTACCCTCTGGTTTACTGAAACGTGGCAATGGAAAATCCATAAAATCCATGATTTACAGATGGGTATTGGTCAATACCTATAGATACATTTTTAGTGGGATGAACATCCATAAATCCCAGCTATTTTGGGGTTCACTAGGTACCAGGGTTTTGACCCATCCCCAGATGATTTTCCGAAGGGTTTGATAAAAAGCCAGGCAGCCAGGATCAGGTCCAGGGTCCTGGAAGGCTCAACACTCGCGTGGCGTATTTGAACAAACTTCGGCCGAAGGTGGGAACCGCTGGGAACCGGTGGGAACCGCTGGAACCAGCACTGGATAACCACTGGATCACAATGGCCAACTGGGGGTTTCCCAAAATGGGCACCCCGTGGACCCCCAAATCATGCAAGTCATGGATGACTGGATGACCCTTTTAGTATTTTTTAGTATTGAACCCATGGTGACTTGGGGTACCGCCATTTTAGGAAACGCCCAACTGTCGAGCAGACGAGGATCCGGCCAGGGTCATCCCTTTGAAATTGTCAGGAGAAGACGCTGTGGAATTGCTGCACTAGGCAGACCTTGTACCACTGCAGATGGACGCATTTTTTTGTGCTTGGTATCTGTTTTTCCTATGTTGGCAGGCCGCTGCAGGATCTCCATATTTGGTGGACAACCCGACAAGTCCGGAGTTTGGATGACAAGGTCGACAAGCTGCGGAGCCAACTGGAAGCCTTCGAAAAGAACAAGAAGGAAATGAGCGGATCTGCCTTTGTGACCTTCAAGGAGACTAACTTTTTGAAGGGGGCTGTAATGGAAGCAGGATTTGGGGCACAGAAAATCGTAAAATACCACACATGTTTTCATTCGAATGAACCTGGTCATCTTGAAACTTGCAACTGAACAGTCGTTTTATTGTTTTTTGTGTGTCAGTGAATCTCACATCCCATTGGTCAGATGCATAGGATGCATGGAAATTCCTGGCAAGCTGGGAATTTGAGATGTGGCAGGTGAACATAGACGTCTAAAAAAAGGAACTTACAAGCTAAGATATGCTAAGATAACATTGCTAACATGAGGGGCAGAGGGAAGGCCCAATCCGATCAAGTCCAAAAACTCCAGCAGATCATCTCCGTTCGTCCATCAGGAACCAATGGAGTTGTTGAAAAACACCATTGGACCCCCCAAATCCATGGTATATCACTAGAATGGCCATGAAAAGTGGTGTAGACATGGTGTATCCCCCAGAGTTTTTTTAAAGACAAACCCAGGTATCATCAGATTCCCTTCTGAAACAAGGTCATTTGGGGGTCTAAAATGGGGGATCCCCAAGTCACCATGGTTGTTCATGTTGTTTCAATGCTAAGTCATGGTCATCCATGACGATTAGATTATCCAAAAATTGGGTAACCCCATTTGAAGAAAACCCCACATTTTCCAGCTGTTCGTATTTGACACACATTTTTCCCAGCAGAGGGGGTCACAGTACCAACCAATCTGCAGGAGAAAGGATTTAAACAGCTCCTCTTGGAAGATTTGCCCAGCTGCTGGAAGACACTTGGCCGCTTGGGGGATTTTCCATGATAAACCATCCAGCTATTGGGGTATCCCCATTTATGGACACCCGCATTTTGTTAAACTAGGTTTGAACCAAATCATTTAGCAATGTTTTTCTTTACCTTAAGGACTTTTCATACTTTTCTTAAGTTCGTTGGGCTTTTGATCTCTTTTGATCGAGCATCGAAAAATCGGGTGACTTATGGCGACTGGGTCGACTAGGATCCAGAGCTATGCGCATTTCAACTTCGGTCAGCCACCCTTTGCATCTGTGACGTTGAGGTGCGCTGGGGACACGTTTTTGCCTGTGAAGGGATAGCAGCTGGAATTTAATGTGACTAAGCTATTATATAGTAACCCCCAAAAAGATAGAGAACCAATTTGTCGATATTTTGGGATTGGATTTTACCAGATTCCATCTTTTTGGGGGTTGCTATCATGGATTGATATACCGATACATATACCCCCAAACTCCCCACAGAACTTCTGTTTGGTCAGCACCGAGGTGCCAACGAGCCCCTCATCCCGCTGATGTTTTGTGGGAGAACCTGCACATCTCGTATCGGCAAAGGCTGGTCTTTCAGCCGATGAGATCCAAAATCTAAAGACTGCCGTGGGTTTTCACAACAAGCTGCCATTTCTTTTGGACTCACATGGACTCACATGGATTGACTCACAGCCGTCCCACTGCCCAGAAGTTGATGTCTTCTTCCATGGCGAATCTGTGGTCGGATTGGTGTATGCTTCCAGGCTAGTGCGATTCGCATGCGGGTCGCTTCTACTTCTGATCTTCATGTTGGTCCTGGTGACCCCCGTCTCGGTCTCCTCTGAACTCAACACCATCATTCCGGACGGGGGTAGATGGCGTGCTTTCTCAACAGTCAAATCCAAATCTTGTCTGCGGTTGGCCCGTTGATCCCTGGTGGTCAGTTGTTGAATGGGGATCATCACGATCTATTTAGAAGCTGAGCGGAGCAATTAAAAAAATGAATTGGGAAGGTGTTCCCATTTTCATCCATTTTCATCATATCCCCTGAAGATTTCCATACATTCTTACGAAACAGAGATTTCGATTGATCTAGTATTGGATATCTGATATGATTTGATCATTTTGGCCCCCCATAAAAAAGGGGGGACTTGGCCAACTCGGAAAATCGACCGGAACCATGTTCAACTCACGGGACGTGGCCATCGCAGGAACTACGGCGTGGTTCTCATGTGATCAGAAACAAGGCCGTGGTTCACAGTGGCTGCGATCCAGCCCGGATGGTTGATGATTACTTCATCATTTAATCGGGGTTGCAAAACCATCGAAATATGGGGACACCAATTTTTTAAAAGCGGATATAGAACATTATATAACTGATATTCATGATGGTTGATTATGGTTGATGATTAATTCGGGCATTAACGGAACCCCCAGAAAAATGAACGGGGAATCCCGTTCTCAACTAGGATGCCATGGCAGGTCGAGCAAGCCCTGGGAGTGCAGCTTCCAGATGCTCGGCATCGACAGCCAAGTGGTACAACCCAAGTGGCCAAGTGGTACCCACTTGGGTTTCCTGAAATGGGGCTACCCCAATAAGTGCATGGTTTATTTCATGGAAAATCCATCTATAAATGGATATAAATGGATGATGACTGGGGGTGCCCCCATGACAAAACGACACCTCCATTTTTTGCCATACAAAACGCTGGAAGCATTTTGAGATCAGGAGCAAACCATGGTGTTTTTGTGGACAGCTACGGTGAACGTCATCGAAACAGAGATACTTGGGGGTGCATCCCACTTAGTAAATGGGCTATACCCCCCAATTATATATGGAATATCACCACTGGATGGGAGTACAGGGATTAAATATGGATTATAAATCACGGATCCTAAGTGGGATGCACATCCAAGTACCATTGATTGTTTCATGGCGGTTTCACAGGTAGCAGACTGCGCACTGAGGAGAAGGGGGATGCTGTTTGGCAGTGGCTGTACCTGCAGTTGCCACCAATGGTGCCTTGACAAATGGTTTGGAGCCATGGGGTAACCATGGGTAGCATGTCATTTTTTGGTGTACCAGTGTACTTCATTTTCAGACATACTTGAGGTATCATTCAATAGTGGAGTGGGGGTGCGAAATCTGCTGATGTCTCTACCTGAGGTGATCCTGTTCATCAACTCTTTAGTTTTGCCCTACTTGATTGGTGAGATTTGCCCCTTGGCAGGGCCCAGCCCTCTATGGGATTTTCCCTCGGCTGGGCTTCTCATTGGTCAACAAGTGAAAGATCGTGGTGTCCGAATTGGTAAGGACAGGCCATTCCTTGATCGATTCATTCATGTATTCATTCACAATTCATTGGTTTGATTCAAGATGATTCAAGCATTTCTTCAGCCCTTTGCTTTGGCAAGCCTTCCATTTATTCAGCCGTTTGCTGCTGACCATTGTTGCTCTGTTTGTTTTCATGCCGAGGCCGCTTTCAGCGCTGCCACACCTTGTCCAAGGTCGGCGGTTTCTTTCCACGCAACTCATGACAGGGGCATGCAGGGCATGCGGGGCATGTGGGATATGCGGCAGTGGCAGTGCCAGGCGGAGCTAAATCAGATGAACATGAACTACGTCTTCATGGTGCGGGGGCTCCACTGGGAGTTTTTTCTTTGACCCTTCAGAGTTTCACTGGACACAGGTCCAGGGAAGTTTGGCCGGGGTCATTTGCATTGAACTGCCGAGACGGGCCAAAATTGGCTTTCACAACATGGAACACGCATGGTCAATACAAAAATCCATTTCCTCAGAGGTCCAATCTATCTCTGGTGCAGTAAAAATTCGACATAATTCGACCGATCTCCAGCTACACCTGGTCAGGTGTTGAACCAGCTGTGGATTCCCTTGCTGGGCTTGACTGGGATCCCAGCACTGCTGGAGTTCTTGGAAGTGCGACTGAATGACCAGCATGAGGCGAGGGACTTCAGGGTCCCAGGTGGTGAGAAAAACTGGGTCTGGGGAGCCATCAATTTCTATGGAAGCACTGTACTTTTGGGACATCATTGACATCATCTTGATGTGACGGGGAAAGTGAAACCTCCTGAAGAATGGGGACAGTGAATCCGAAAGGGAAAGACTGACCATGGTTGGCATGGTCCGATGCTTCAATAATCTGTATATAGGTGAAAACGGGGAAGGACCTTTGGATCTCCTTCGGTCATATTTGGATGTCAGTCACATGTCCAAATGTGTGCAGAACTTGAATGTATTTGAGGACCACCCAAACAGATGCTTTTGCGACGGCGACGGGTTTTCGATTCTTGGAAACGCCCACGGTTGGTTGGCTCCCCATGTCTGCATACTTTCGTTCAAAGTATCTTCACTTCCATACCATGAGGACATTTGACAGTGCTGCCGTGGTTCGCTTAAGTCAGGGTAGAAGCACTTGCAATGGTTTGTAAAGTGCGGCCAGCTTTCAAAAGGCATCACGCTGAAAAGCGCGGCACTTCCTTTTCCGTTTTCTGTGACTGTTTGGCGCATGCAGCAATCGACGGTGTTT